CGAGCATGGAGGCTCTTACGCCCCCCCCCGAGGCCTCCCTGCTCGCCGTGGGAGGCCGGTACTGGCAGCTCGAGGACCTGGCGCCGCCAGCGACAGACATGGAGACGGTCACGCCTTCCGAGCTGAATGACCTATCCCTATCAATGCAGTCGATTAGCGGGCGGATGTCGGTTTGGTAGCGCCTTGCTCGAGGTAGAGGCGAGGGAAGTTAACTTTACCCCCACCCCTCGCTGGCTCGCAGGAAAGAAAAAGACCACTGAAACAGAGCCCCCCCCCTGGCAGAACCTTGCTTTCTGCAAGCAAATGTTCTTTTCCGCCCGTAGTTTCTGAGCGAATCACCCGAGCACAGCCCGTGCATCCCTCAACCCGGCGCGGGGTCGGCGCCCTCCCTGCGTCGGCCCCACCAGAAGGAGACAGAGAAGGACGGGCTCAGGGCCTGGATGTGATGCCACCAGAGGGGCGGGATGTAGAGCATTTCCCCCTCCTCCAGCACGCAAGTCTGGCTATTAGCCCGCGCGAAGAGGGGGAAGCGGGCCAGGTCGGGGCGCAGGGGATCGACGCGGCTGTTGTTGCGGAGGAGGCCCTGGCAGGGGTAGAGGCAGGGGGACTCGGAGGGGGCGAAAAGCCTGACCGCCTTGGAGCCAACCACCTGGGCAAGCAGGTTGTGGTAGGGGTCCGTATGCGTGGGCGAGACAGTGCCCCCGGGGCCGAACCAGGCATTGGTGACCACAAGTCCGTCCTCCTCCAGGGCCTCCTCCCCTCCCTCCACCTCCAGGGCGCAGTAGTCGGGGACCCACACGTCTTTCTGCAAAGCTGGGATCTGTTCAAAGAGCTCGTGCTGCGCCAAGTACGCCCTGCAACCGGTCTCACGCCGTCCGGCCTCCACTTCCCCTCCGTCTGCCCACGTCTGGCCCCCTGGGCCGCCGCTGCTGGCGTCACCCTCCCTTGACTCCGGGCCACTCTCGGCTCCAGTCATATAGCGATCGATGAAGTCTCCCAAAGGCATGAGTTCTTGCCCCCAAGCCCCCTCTTCCTCCAATCCCTCCCCCTCACCCGCCATGTAGGTGCCTGAACCCACCTCCACCGGAACCACCCGCTCCCCCGCAACCTCTTTCAAATAGTCCATGTCTCTCCAACGCCTCAACGCCGGCCAGTGCTCCATGCACTGTGTAAGAATAACAGGCACCTGCGGTACCATGTGCTTCTCCAGAAAAGCGTCGAGGCTGGGGCACGCCAGGCGCGGAATGTCTCCAACTAAACCCTCCACGGGACGCGGCCGCTTCACTCGGAGCTCCCTGGGTCGCGACGACAAGAATTGGGCCGCCTCTGGCTTGCACGGGCGAAGGCGTTGCTCTGCCCATTCGATCAAGCCGTTGGCTACCCCCTTAATGCTGGGCGGGCCCATGAGCAAGGCCATGTCTATTCGGCGTATGCATTCTTTCAAGCGCGTGGAGACTACGCTGGAACGTTTTTGAGTCGAAGTGTTTGTGTCCGTGTCTTCTTCTTGTTGAAATTTTACAGCCTGCACCGCCGCTAGAATGAATTGAGAGTAGGCATACACTCTTCTGGTGGTTACTGTGACATCGCGCCATGCGGGGCTGCTGTGTAAACCCTCCCACGCCACCTCCTCAAGCTCCCGGCCCAGAGCTTCGACAGTCGTCCAATCACCGGCTTGGATTGAATTTGTACAGCCGGCGCACAATGAACCGCATAAAAGAGACCCTTCTTGCCGAAGGTCTTGACAGCCAAGCAAAGAGTGAGAGACACGGAAGGGAGGGTATCGCGTGAGAGGAAGTAGAGGAGAGGTTGCAGGGTGCTAGATTACCTTGACAAAGCTCATGAGGCTCCTCAAGTGCAATCCTCCATGCTGGAAAATCAGCAAGGCATTCCATAATGTCTGCTTGTGAATGGTGTGCCGCTGTTGAACATTTTGAAGTACGAAATGGAACGAAGGCCTGATTGCAAGCTCTACCTCCCCCCCGACCCGTACAGACAGGCACTTACGCTTTCATCCATCCCGCTGTGCTAGCTCAAAAAATTCCATCATACGACCACATTCACTACATAGGAAAAGAGACGATGGGACTTATTACGATGCCTGTAAACATGCTGTTGATAATCTGTTGGTGTCTCGCTCTATTATTCTCCACAAGAACCGCTGAAGCAAGTAGGCGACCCGTATGTACTCTGACACCTTTCATATGCCCTGCTCCCGGTCTCTACCGGCAACACAATGGTCGTCGGAGAACACTCAATCTGTATTGGGGAGTTTTCGGCGGTAGTTCCTCCAAAAAGATTAATCCTGGGAAAGGCAGCGGAGAGGATCCTGCGAAAGTGAGGGCTCGCATTGCCTCTTGCAGAGTCTGTAATAAGAAAGGAGCAGTGAATTGTCCGGTCTGTGCCGGAACCGGTATCGACCAAAAAAATGGCGCCATCTTTGAGCGCTACAAATGCTTGAAATGCCAGGGGTTTGGGTATGTGAGTTGTGAGGCCTGCAATCCCGGTGGCTTGACGCCCGAACAGCGAGGAGAAAGGTGAGGGATGAGACCCAACGGGTAAAGGAAAGTCGCAGCGCGCAACACTTCATCAATAATTCCTATTAAACATCTCGAAGGACTGCTTTCGCTCGTGTAATTTTACAAAGTATTTCTCTCCTTGTGCGGACATGATCCTGTAATCGCATGACGCAAAAAGACCGCTGCTCTATGCTGTCTTCATCCTCCTGGTCGTATCCCTTCTTATGTCATGTCAACCGAGCCCATCTCGCTTAGTTCCCAGACTCTTGGCACCTTTTCGAAAGCAAGTACGGCGACGACCAAAGATTCTCTGGCGGGTAGATTATTCGTCCTCCTCCTGACAGGGGGATGAACGTGGGAGCCGCCACAACAGGGAAATTAGTCTCTTTCATGCGAGCAATGAGTGGAGTCAGGCACAAGTTTAGCTAGACACCACACAGCGCTCATGGTACACATTGCATCCCCCCCGCGCCAATATCGAGCCCCTTACGCCCTCGACCTACCCTTGAAATGCGGGCGTCCTCCACGAACTGATCAATCTCCGCCTCCGAGACCGGGACATTGAAGGACACGGCATATCCAAAGTAGGCGTTGGGCTTTTTCCTGCATTCGGCCAGGTCCTTCTTGAAGTCGGCGACCTTGCCCCACTGCACAAGCTTTCGCGAAATGTACTCCTGTTCCGTGCCCAGAGGGAAGACAGTTACACACGATTCACGCGGGAAGAAGACTGCCATGAGAACCCTCGCGGTATAAAATTAGCACGATCACGCATTCAACTGCTTAAGTACAGACCCCAAAAAGATCCTGATACTACGAGGACACCCTCTTTCCCCCCGATCCCACTCACCAAATGCTCCAAATACTGGCGCTCATTGAGTGGAAAAGACTGCTGCCCGAGGTACTTCCACATTACATTAATGTACAGCAATTTCTTTCCTGCGAAGTCCATTCGTCTCAGCTCCACCCCATAAGGTACTCCCCACTTCGCAACGATCATGTCGAAAAGCTGGTAGCCATCCAGCTCTCCGATATTTTTACGCTCCACCAGATCCTGCAGCACTTTCTTCCGGTATTCCTGCATGGAGGGTGAGCCATCTGGTGTGATTACAACCCTCAGAGGTGCTGCCGAAAAGGATCTGCGCACTGTTGCGACTCCTGACGAGGCAGAGGGAGAAGAGGGAATAAACGATGCCACAGGTGCGCACATTAATACCGCCAGAAGCGACAACAGCGAAGTAGAGAACAGCGTTTTCATCCTATCTGCGTCCACGTGTTTGACTGGTCTTGCTCCGTTTGCTAGCTCTGTCCTCTATAAGTATGGTCAGAATCATGGAATGTTGGGAGTGAGTAGGCAGGAGTCGAGGAGACGCCTTGGGCTACAGACATAACCACAAGCTGACGAGAAAAGACGCCGACGCCGGCGCTCAATAGACAAAGACACAGACGGACGGGTCAGTACGATTTTCGTGCACTCCCTCGCCTTGCGCCCGACGCAGGCACTTGCTCGCGAGGCAGGGGGAGGTGGTCAGGCTCGCCTCGTCAGCACGGGCACGAGACTGCGAGTTCCGACCCCGCCCCCAGGCGGCCTCAGGGCCTGGGTCGCCTTGTCTCGATGCTCATTCCTTGCCATGCCATGCCATGCCATGAAACACAGATGAGACCAAAAGAGGCCCCCTTCCGGATGCGGGCACGGCGCTGGTGGAGAGTTTCGTGTTGTGCGCTCTTCCTCCACGTCGCTTGCTCGAAAGCTTTCCTCCGGCCCTGCCCCGCCGTCTTCAACCCCCCCCACAGCAAGCACCAGGACCCTCAAGTGCCGCGCCTGCCCGGTCACTGCCCACTAACTACACTTCCTGCAGCAACAACCGCCAATGCCCCTATTTCAACCGCGCCCGTCGTGGCTGATCAAGCTTTGGGTACCCTGCTTGTGGAGGCGGACACGGGGTGCGACAAACTCGACTTGAAGCGTGTTTTCGAGGCCCTGACTGCTCCGTCCTCTCCTTTTTTAGCCAAATACTGGCAACGCGCCCCATGTTTCACGAGTACGTCTATCCCCTGCCTTGCTCAAGCGTGGACCATGGCGGACATGGAGGAGGCAATTGCCAAAGAGTTCTTGCTGGCGGGCCGCGGGTTCTTCGAGGAGAATAGTGAGACAGGGGGTTGGAAAATGGCAGCCGTGGGGCTAGCACGAGGCTCCTCGTTCGAGGAGGCCAAGCTCAGGCCCGAGGATGTCCGGGCAGCACTGAAGCAGCGGAGCGGCACGGTCGTGTTCAACAGCGTGGGGGGCTCGGTGGCGGCCCTGGCCGGGGTCTGCCTCGACGCGGTGGAGGCTTTCCGTCTCCCCGTGGCGCTGAACTTGTACATGACAGCCCCCGGGCAGTCCACCTCGGCGCCCCCGCACACGGACAAGCAGGACGTGTTCGTCCTCCAGACCCAAGGCCGGAAGCGGTGGCGGGTCTACGCGCCCCCTGCCCCTCTTAAGAAGCCCTCCGTCGACCCCTTCGCCCGCGGCAAGGACCAGGACAGGCTCCGTCTGGGGGAGCTGGGCCCCCCCCTGGTCGACACGGTACTGGGGCCCGGGCAGGTGCTGTACATGCCGGCGGGTTTCCCGCACACGACCGACACGGTGGTGGGCATGGCCGAGGAGAGGGACCCCTCCGTGCACCTGACCCTGGGGGTGGACACGCACATCTGGGGGCTCACGCACGCCGCCCTCCGCGACTACTTCCTCTACCGCCTCCAGCCGGGCCCCACTGCCACGCTTCCCCCACCGCCCCCGTCCACCCAGACCCTCCCCGA